TAAAACACAACCGTTCAATTTGACTATTAGTCAGAGACTAAAAAATAAAAGAAAAGGCATATAAATAAATAAGCCAAAAGTTGAATTTATCGAGTTTACTAGGTTGGGGCACAAATAGATATTTTTTTTGACCAATTATTACTAAAATTTATACAGAATTGCATATTTACTCAGGTCTTACAATTTCATGTAGAAGTTTGCAAGTGACATAGTCATACCCATAACTAATATACCTTATATATATAAAATGTAGTGCATACACTTTCACGCTTCTTAATGTAAGCATAATCTCTATTCGAAGCAACACTTCTATTTTAATGTAAACATAATCTCAATTGAAAGCAACGCTTCTATTTTATTGTAAACACAGTTCAGTAGAACAAAGGCTGTAAATAAGGTCTGGAAATTGTAAGCCCAATAGTAATGTAATTTTTTGAAACATTGCTTTTTTGGTAATGTTAAAATGCGAAGCTGGAAGTGATGCTTATATCTTAAAATTTAGACATAAGTTATTATTTTCATATTTATTCAATAAAGAAGAATAAAATGAATCAATTGTGCTTTAATTTTATTTAAAAGAAAACACAATTTGTAACTTACATATCTATGTGTATATAAGAACAAATTTTAACAACACTTAAACTCTTAAAGGCTATCCTTTTAAAAGTTTAGACTATCTAGTACATAAACTAGTAGTTTTATAATTGACGTTTCAAGCAGACTAGCACTTGAGCTGCTGCCGTGCGAAATAAAATGCTAGATTATTGATTTTAATCTGAACTTTTATTATTAAAGTATCTATTTATAAACAAAATTACAATATATAGAATTGATGAATCATCATAATACAAATATTAAAAATATGCATTAATATGCATTATAAAAAAAAAGAAAAACTAAATAATTAACATATTAATTTAAAGAATATTTATTTAATGAAGCCAAACACTTTCGTCAGTGCATTAACCACGAAAAAGCTGATAATGCAACATTGCAAAGCGTTGGTCTATAAAAAACAAGTAGCACTTAAATTCTGCAAGCAATAATAATTAAAAACATATACAAAATACAAATAAAAAATATAACTACTACATATAAATAATATGAAAATCCAAACTCTGCAGAATATTAACCCATTAAGTACCAGGCAAGTTCAAACTCGAAATTTTATGGCGAAATTTTCAGAAAGGTCTTATTTTACGTTCAAAATATTCCCTGCAAAAATAAATTTTTTTTTTGAAAAGTAGTTTTCCGGAAAAGTGCAGTGTGGTCAAAAAAAAGGTTGGACCCCATTTTTCTCTCTTCGATAGTACAAACATTTTTATATGTGTTTTGTTCGTAAATATCGTATTTAGTTACTTTTATGATTAAGTAACTATCATTGTAAGTTGTATAAAGTACAAGTAAGTATAAAATTCAATGTTTTATGCTTTTCAAATATTTATTAATCAAAAAATATATTTGCATATGTGTTATATTATGTAAAAAGAAATGAGTTTACTTGCGTCATTGTCTACGATCAATGTAATATTGTTTGTTTTCATAGAAAATTTTAAATCAGTTTTCTACATGACCATTTAAATGGCACTTTTCATATATAAAAACTGTGGCTTTGGTAAATTTCCCGGAAGATAAATATCTTCTGCAGCACTGTGACTTTTGTTTTTCAAATTATCGTAAGCGGTAGCTTTTGTAATGAACATTAAGTTCTTTGATGGAAGACGAAGGTTTCTGGCAATGAAATTCTTGAAGTCTAACTCAGGCATCCAGGCATCGGTTTTGTGATGGTAGAATCAGCGACAAAGCAATTTAGTTTCCAAGCGTTTACTACAGCGCTATCTAAACACTGTACCTATAATGGCCACCACCCCATTTTGCTTCTATTCCCGATACGATAGTTAGCAACTCCATTGTCATGTAAATCGATGCCACCCATACACCGGTAGTAGCTGTTGATAACTTGAGAAACTATGAGACACCAACCTTTTTTTTTCTCTCTGCTATAGCGTTGCATATTTACTATGGGTTCAACGGAATTATACAGTATGTTGCAATGGATACTCACAATGGCTCAATAATTTCTTTACAACTAATGCACCGATTCCCAATTGCTTGTTTTATTTGTCAGTTGCACTGGAGTATGGCAGAAACTGGAAGATATATCCACTATTCACAGAAAAGGTTTACAGCTTATAACCGAAACGTATTGGTTTCACAAGTTCCAATGTGAATAGTAGCGACTCAGGCATTTCTAAAACACCACCATATTCTTGTGCATTTGATTCGTATACACCGTCAATAGCACCTAAATATCATCTCAAAATTAGACACGCGGAATTCAAAAAAGGGAACAAAATATTAAAGTCGCATGTAATGTTTGTTGATATTTCATCATCGTCATTCATTTCATTGTCCGATTGACCAGCAACATTATCAGGTGGCAAACATTATTATTCAATAGGTAACGGAGTGTCACTTGGCACTAATGCGTCATCCTTGCTCCCGATTTGTTAGATATCTTAGGAATGACATTATAATTTTATTTACAGTTAAAAATTGACGACAGAACTTTTAGCAAGAACAAATGTAAGCCCTGCATAAAACATTCAAATTCGTACTATCTCAACCAGTAATTAAATTTCAAAATAGACTTATTACTATTACGCATAGAAAAAAACATAAGTTTAAGTTAATTAGAAGAGTATGATATTTATTAGAGAGTTTACTCTCATTTTATTTCATTACCTAACGACAAACATTTATGTGGCATTGTTTTATCATTATAGTATTATTATAGTATTATGGGACCCATCTTGTGGTTTACCACACGCCTTTTTTCGCCCGCGGTTGGTGGCAAGTAACTGTTATTAAGGCGCCGGCAAAAATTATGAAAATTATATTTGGACTTTTGTGAACACATTTCATAACAATTATATTAGTTTTTATTTCTATTTATTTTAATTTTCATTTGATTAGAAGAATTTTTTGGACACTTTTTATTTCGCACCAGTTAAACTCATGAACAGATGAAGACTGTTCGGAATATGTATTTTTATATTATTAAGATATCAAACTAAGGAACAAAAATAAAAAACATTGAATTAATTACTTTTATATATTTTTAAATAATTTTCAAAGTTAGCCGTGTGGTGTACCACACGAAAGTACGAAATGGGTTAAGGCGTCAGTCTTAACAATAGCATTTAGTAAGGCATATCTAAAAAAGATAGAAGCTGACATCAAAAGTTAAATTATATTAGAAGTCATCAAAATTGATATTGTAATGAAACGTAAACTGGATAATTATATGCAAAAATATCGTATATATTATGTTGGTGATGAGGCGGTGCTGGAGTGCTGGACATAAATAAAGCTTGCAGTAGAAGTTTAACTATAATACTATTAATTTAAAAATACATTGGAATCAATCATTTAGATGTAATGAAACGACGTGAAAGACGATACTCTTAGTATTGGAGATTCTGCGATAATGCGATAACCAAATCAATAAGCCTGTGGCAAAACTTGTTTAACTTCGTTGAAAAATTCATCGAATGGGCTGAGTGGCTGGTTTTTTCTGACTTTTGTGAGTATTTATGAGATGATGTTGATGTCTTAATTTATTCCTGTATGATTAAGTCGTTCGCGAAGATGGGTGTATATTGCTTATTTACATCTTACTCGTCGCTGGTTAGCTTAGCCAGATTTAACCTGTCGGTAGTAGCTGTACAATGATTACATATACAATGGACAATTAAATACTTACAGCTTCGCTGAACAACTCGGTTTGGACCTTTGCAGGGCCACTGTCATTTTTAATTTCAATCCAATAGAAAACAAATTACGTTGTAGCAATTTGATCGGCTGACTTTATAACTACTTTATGTTTTCTAATACTTTTCATAGCTTCCACACAAAATCGGTTTCACTAGTCCTCCGGAATCAGTCTTCTGGAACAATTTATTTAGCACTTAAAATGGATTGTTCGTTCAAATGTGAGTACTCGGTTTTATTTTGAGCAAGTTTCAGTGCTGATACATGTAGTCCAAATATTATGTACAAACTACATACCATATATTTTCAATCACCAGTGATGTCGAAACATTCGACGTCAAACTTTTATATAAAATGCAATATATTAATGTTTAATAACATTCATTTTTAATTTTTAAATAAAATTTGTACAATTTTATATAATACTGTTTAGATTTGCACTTTAAATTTTAAAAAATAAATTCGAAAAAATGATTTTTCTGATTTGTTAATAAAAACCACTATTTTGGTCAAATGGCGAATAACTTCTGAAATTTTTATTCGATTTTTATGTTAAGCCACTCGAAATGTTTGTACTAAAACAGTCTTTAACATCAATCAAAAAAAGAATTTTTTTTAAAATATGTTTGTGGGAGTCCCATCACATTGAAAATCGAAAAAGTTGAAAAAAGCGTAAAAAAAACATTTTTTATCTGTACATTTTCAGCTATAGGTGCGAAACTAAATAAGTAACATTAATGTAATGTAGCTTAAAATGTTCGTACACGTTTCACCTTTAATTTGATATATCACTGCTATGATATATCACTGCTACACAGGATGGTACACAGGAAAAAAAAATCGTTGTGATTTTCGAGTTCTACGGAAAATTTTCCAATAGAAAATATAAGTCTCGTCCTTGGAAATTTTTGGCTGTAAACTAGTGTAGTTTGTAAAACTTGTCATGAAATGAAGTTGTGTTTAAAACAGTTGAATTAAAAATTAAAAATTAAATAACTTCGCAAACGTATTTAACTTAAATTGATATAAAATAATTTTGAACAAGCAATACTAAATATTGTTGATAAAAATAAATAAAATTAATATTTATTTTCAAATATAGAATACAGACATTAAACAATATGAAAATACATAATACTTTTTGTTAGGTCTTTATGCCGATATAACTTTCATACATAATATATTCTAAATATTTAAGTAATTAATATAAAAAAAAATAACACCTACCTAAAACTAGTGCTTATCAAATGTTTATGTTTTTATAGATGCATCACACCATGGACCAATTAGATATGTTAGATCCGACAAGTTCAATGACTGCATTAGCTCCAATTACAGAAACTCCTTTGACACCAACACATCAACACTTGCATGGATCATATCATAGTATGAATCATATGATGAGCCATCACCACCCCGGAGCGCTAAGTGGGCATACGACGGGTATGGGTGATTAATTTTTGCGCAGCCACATGTAAAAATTAATCGCAACTACTTTATGCTTTAAATTAAATTAAATAATTAACTTACAAATAATATTCAATTCCCTAAAGGTCATCATGGACACTCTGCTGTACATCATCCCGTAATAACAGCAGCAGTAGCAGCTGCGGGGCTTCATCCTGATACTGACACTGATCCTAGGGAATTAGAAGCATTTGCAGAAAGATTTAAACAGCGGAGAATCAAATTGGGTAAAAGAAATATCGTATTAAATGTCGTTATACAATTAGAAACATTTCGACTTTAAATATATTTTTATTAAGCAATTAAAACGAAAGTAATTAACATACCTACAGTGGCTCTCATCTTATTTTATCCAACACTGCTTTAAATTTCTAAAACACTGTATCTTAAAAATGAATTAGAAAACAATCAAGTTTTTAATGTTTTTAATGCATTTTAATAATAAATGAAACAAAGTATATAAAATTTGTTTTTGTTTCGCTCAAAGGGGAAAAATCCGATAGCGTGACAGAATTATAACTCACAGCTTATTTCAACCAAATTATCATTTGGACTTAGTCGCCAGTATGTAGTGCTATGCAACGCGATTTTTGTTTTTCCGTAATATTTTTAAAATACTGTAAGACTGTAAAGTACGTCGTAGATACGTTCCAAAATATCGCGACTCAAATTGAAACAACGCAAAGTGAATTGCTATTTTCTGTTGGAAATCATATAAATATTGAATATACGTTACCGTATTTTTCATTCAGTCCTTAAATGTTAAAAAAAGAAGAATATTTAAATAACAAAACAAAAGTAAAACTTTATTAATTCATTTAAAAACATACAAAAGACTAGAAATTCAACCAAAAATTAAAAATAGATACAAAAAATAAATAAATTATAAAATTATTTGCACTTCTTTAGCTATCAGGATCGTTTTTTGAAAAAATTTCCATTCCATCAATTAGATTCATTGCTTTAGAAATTTGCTGTGAAGATAAATTTTGACGCTTACTTATATTTAGCGAGCTGTCTTCTTCGTTAGCGATTTCCACATCCAGTTGCATCAATTCCTCATTAGATATTTCTTGGTTTTTGAGCTAGCAATTCATTTATGTCAACTTCATCCATCCCTTCAAAATTGGACTCTCTTGCTAAATTAGCAAGGATTCTCTGAATAATAATACAAAAAAACATCACATTTCGCATTCGCAAAAACAACGACTCACAGCGAAAATAAGTTTGAATTCAGTAACGACGCAACTTCGAAAAAACGCAAAGTGAAGCAACACAAAGTGAGGTCTTACAGTATTTGTAACCAAATATAATAAATTTTTTGTGTGATTTTGGACATGCAACTATAAATAAGTAATTTTTTTTTAAAAATGAGAATATGCATTACAATTGAGCAAAGAGAATTGATGTTAACCCACTTTAAGGACGGTTAACCACAGCGAAAAATTGCGGGATTCTTTAATTTGAGTACTCAAGATATGGGCAGAAGTGCACCACATAAAATTTTCAACTCAGCTGACGAGCGACATATTGTTAGAAAAATCAAGAGAGTTGCAAAATAAATGCTCCTGATATAGTCGGGAAGGTACGGTTAAAACTAGGCAAGACGTGCAGTGCGAAAACTGTCCTACTTTACTGGTCAAGTAACTAAAAAAAACCCTTCATAAGCAAAAAAATCAGAGCATTCCGCTTGCTTGTGCTAAGGAGCAAATTAGACTTCTGGAACTGTGTCATGTTCCCAGATGAGTTTAAATTCAATATTTCTAGCTCAGATAGCATGATTTATGTGTGACGGAAACCTAATACTGAGTCCAAAAGTAAATTTAAAAGTGTTACGATATAAAATCAATGATCGTAACGAGATGGCATCACTAATGTGATCAGCTGTCTTATGCGACAGAATAGTAAAAAAGACGCGTGCACATTTTTAACAAAAATATAGATTTAAGTAATTATAATTGTAAACGTATAATTCCAACAAGAAAATATAAGTAGCGAAGCGTTCATCGTCCATATCTAAGCCAACAGAACCGAAATTCATAATTGAAGCACCAAACATCACAGAATTTTGTCATGATCCAGAAAATAACATTACTTTTGACACTTGGTACATGCGGTACGAAGATCTGTTTCTAGTCGATGCTGCAAAATTAGATGATGTCGCAAAAACACGATTGCTTTTACGTAAATTGGTCACCATTGTTCATAATAAATACATCAATTATATTCTATCAAATCATAGCCGTGACTTTACTTTTAAAGACTGTGTCTTAAAATGACTTGAAGCTTGAAACTTTTTGGTAGTCAGATGTTACCATTCAATAATTGCTTGCAGATGACAAAAAAAACAGCCCACTCAAGATTTCGTTACATATGCGAGCATGGTTAATAACCAATGTGAATTATTCAAATTGAATGATTTAACCACAGACCAATTTAAGTGTCTAATATTCATTATGGGGTTAAAGTCACCATCAGAATTTGAATTACGCACAAAAATGCTAAATAAATTGGAAAATGAAAGCACGAAAGTCACGTTGGAGACCTTATCAACAGAATGCCAAAAGATAGTAAATTTAAAAGTCGATACAATACTCATAGAAAACAATGCACAGGTAAATCGTTTACGTGCCAATAACCATAAAAATGAAAAACAATTCAAAAATAATAGCAAGTCAAAAGAATCTTCAAGTTTACCCAAAACTGTCCATTCAAAAATCACAAATGCGACAGATGCAATTTTGTCGGGAACAAAGAAGGATATTGTAAATACCGAAAAACTCAAAACGAAAATCAAAAATACTATAAAATTGATAAGGGCCGTCAATTTAATTCAAAAAGTATCTTTACTACAAATAAAGTCAATATGATTAAACGCAAATACATATTAGTCAAAATTAATGGCACATCATTAAATTTGCCACTTGACACATCAGATATAACAATAATTTCTCAAGACAATTTAAAAAAAATAAAAGCCGATAACGTTAGCAAATGAGAACATACAGCACGCAGCGCAACAGATGAGTTATCATTGTCAGCAGAATTTAAATGTAACGTAGAATTTCGAAATCAACAGCAAAGTTTAACTTGTTTTGTTACTCCTATACATATGTTAACCTTAACGCAATGGATTTAGATTGAATACAAGAATTTAACTTATGTAATATGTCAATAAATTCTATTTGTAATAACATTCGTCAGAATCAGGATAGTGTAAAAGACTAAAGAGACTGACAGAATAGACATGTATATACTAAAACACAATTCATATAATATAATTCATGTATATATTCATATTTATATAATTTAATTAATTATACAGCCATAATATTACATAATATATATATAAAATAATATAAAATAATAACTGATATGTTATATAAATAACAAAAAAATCGGAATATATCAACAAAACTAATAATACAATAATTAGTGAAATAAATAATACACTTCATGTATTATGCATATATATAAATGGTGGGATTTTGGGACAGCGCACTGTCCAATAAGTGGCCCCACTGAGTTGAAGGATTAGTCGAAGTAGACCACGAAACGAATTGGGTCCTTTTTCGTCCTTCGATTCTCGGATGTTGTTATTGACTTAAAGCTGGAGTGGCTTCCTTTCACATAACTACATCGTTTGTTAATGCAAGCAGCTCATTTAGCTTGAGGTTTCCTGCCAAGTCGTCACCAACTCAATGGTGTCCCAAGACAGTCTTCCTCCTACTTGCCAGTGCTGAACATTGGCACAATATATGCACCGCTGTCTCCTTTTCTTCTAGACATAGTCTGCAAGTGTCTTCCTGAGCAAGAGTTATCTTTTTGAGGTGATGCTTGAAGTTGCCATTTCCAGTAATTAGTGAGGTCAGCCAGCTTAGGGTGCTCCGCGAATAGCTAAGCACCTATATCGCTTCTCTGGCCCAAGGTTTTGGTAACATGAGTTTGGTCTGTCTACAAGTGCTCAACTCTCTCCATCTATTAAGATGAAGTGAGGTTATCCCAATGGTATTCTAGGCTCCGGGCCACAGAAATTATGGCTTGATCCTTGCTTTGCAAGTACATCTGCCTTCTCGTTTTGCTTAATACCGATGTGTCCTTTAACCCACATGATCGTCGTATATAAGCCAATTAGTTATACAAAAGATTATATATCATATAATATGTATATAATATATTGACTGGAAAAACTGTTGATTCACCGGTGCTTTAAGCCAGAAGCGACGTTGTTGTAGTTGTGATAGCTGCTGCTGTTCATGAAAATTTTGTCGGCATTTGCGTTATGACTAATATTAGCGCTATTCCGGCTGCTGTGGCTTATGGTATTATGTTGATTAGCTAGCGTCTGAATTGCTGTTGCTGCTGATAATGTTGTTGGCGCAGTTGCGTTGTACTTAAAAAACTCCTGCTTAGGTGTTTTAACAAAAAAAGAAAAATCACCCACTAAACAAATGTTTAAGTTTTCTTTTAATAAAAGGGTTTTTTACCCGTTATTTTCTATTTCAGTTAGTAAATTTCTTCTTTTAGGCGTTAGTTGTTTAGTTCTATGAATTTATTTTTTCTTTTACTTTTTAATTTATTTTATTTCATTATCTTGTAGTTCACATGTAATTCTTGCACGTAAATTCGGTAATCCGACAAGAACGAAATTTTTACTTAACTTTTTGCTCACTTTCTATAAGAATTATTATATATTTTTTTCATTCGTTTGTATTAATTGCAGTTCACTTTATTTTTTTTTTTTACCTGACAGAATTTATCCACGTGTATCAACAGTACTGCCTTTTTTCTAAAAACCACGCGACTCCCAAAGCAACCAAAACTGTATCCCCGACTGTTGTTTTATCTGGCCATCGAACTCAACTTTCCCCTCCACAGATTCTACATGTTTCATTGCCTCTGCATTTCTATTTTTTTGTAGCTGCAGTTCTTTTTTTAATAGTATGCGCAATCACAATTTTTTTTGTAAAAAGACCTCTGCGCCAAAAGCTCTTTTGTCACTACTTGTGTTTGTTCATTTGTTTATCTTTTAAATGCTTTTTGTTAAACTTCGTCTCTGTAGTGGCTGCGATAATATTGATTAATTTTATGTAAAAATTAGAGAAACGATCTCCAGCAGAAGTTATGTTTGGAAGGAAAATGAGAATAAATATAGATTTGCTGCAACCAAACAAGTTACACAATGCAAAGTAAAGTCCAAATACAAAATGGAAAAGCAATATAAGAAAAGGCACGGTGCCAAGGAAATAAAATACTTTCCATTACATAAAATTTACGCCAGTATTCCAAATGGAATTAACCATTTCAAATGGATACCTGGGGAAGTCATTGAGAAAAAAGGAAAAGTAATTCGAATTCGAAAATTAATTCGAATTCATTGGAATCAATTACGAAAACGCTACCACGACCAAAATAATAACCACAGATTTGGGAAGCTGCACTACATGTGTATGACTTACCGCAACAATCAGATCAGTTTACAAGAGCACTCAACAATCAGACACTGCCTAATATTCCGCCACTATCGACATCGCCAACCGAGTTATCCAAAATGCCTACACCAATTACAACACCTACATCACCTGTTCTTTGCAGGACAACACGTAATCGCAAAGCAGTAACTTTGTTTCAACCACAGTAAAACATTTCGAAAAGGGAAGGTGTTACGATATAAAATCAATGATCATAACGAGATGGCATCACTAATGTGATCAGCTGTCTTATGCGATAAAACAGTAAAAAAGATATAGATTTAAGTAATTATAATTGTGTACATATAATTCCAACAAGAAAATAATATATTCTAAACAAAGAAATATAACAAAAAGCTACAGTAAAGCATGGCGGTAGAAGTGTAATGGTATGTCAACCGCCGGCGTTGGGTATCTGGAGTTTATTGATGGTAACATGAACAAAACAATGTACCTCAAAAAATTTACTTCAAAGTGCCGTGAAGCTTGGAATTCCTGAAACATTTCGCTTCTACTAAGACAACGACCCAAAACATAAGGCCGGGTTTGTACAGTCTTGGTTGATTTGGAACAGTCCACAATTGATAACACCATAGGGCGCAGAGCCCAGACTTAAATGTCATTAAACATTTATGGGCCATATTGGAACAAAACATTCGGCAATATACTATTTCCAACAAAGAAGAGTTAAAAGTAGCCAGTTTGCAGGAGTGGATGAAAGTTACTCTAGAAACAACCCAAAAATTTGTAACTTGAATACCGAAGAGACTTGAAGAAGTGATAAAAACGAAATGGCATCATACCAAGTATTGACTTTGTCACCAAATAAAATTTCTTCTTGTGTATGAAATAAGCTAAGGCATTTAAATAGGAGGATATTTATAGTTTATGTTCATTATTTATTAAAACCTTGTTTTCGGTATTTTTGAAGTTTCTAAATTAAATAATAAATATTTTTCCTTAAAAATGGCATTTAAATATTTTCAATCGATGACATAATTTTTCAGTAATAGCTCAAAAGTTGATGTTGAATGAAATATGCTGAGAGGCACTATATGTGCAACGAACTATTTCTAGTCTTCTGCTTTGATATTTATATTATTTAAAACCTAAATGCTGCACTACAATAATTAATGCTATTTTTATTACAACGGCAATGATAGTTAGATTTTAATGTTGCGTTCCAAATTGCATTCTAATTTTTTAATGTGTATTATTGGCAATAGCAACTACACGAACGGAAAAGTGAAGTTGCTTCAGGGCTGCGTACACTTTAAATATTAAACTAGTTAATGGTTCAAGAATGTGCATTTGTGTTAATGGAATAAATCACAAAATCTGAACTTTTGAAATAAATTTTGATTTAGTGAATTAGTAAGATTAACATGTACTCGTAGTATAAAAAATTTGCTATTTGTTCGAAGCCGATTTTTAGATTTGTGTTAGAAAAACTTATCTAAAAAATATTTATATTTTTTTTCGAAAATTTTTTAAATGTACCAGTATTTACTGACTCAGAGTTCAGCAGTTTTTCTTTAAAAAAAATGAATTCTACATTTTACAAGCCAAAAAGTGAAAAAAAACTTTCATAAACGTTCTACGAAATATCACCCATCAATCTGTAGATCCTGGTGAAATCAAAACTGCTGTTTCTGATTTGAGACATACCAATACAATGGTAAATATTGCTTAAACAAGTGCGTCAATAAGTATCAACTACACAATGAAAATATTCATCACTCTTACTTCTAAGCTATTACTAACAATTAATCAAATATATTACATCCCGACGGTACTGTACATGAAGGAATGGGAACTCTCGTCTATAGTTAAATCGATTATCCCCATAGCTGAACAGTATAGTTCCGAATAGAGTATTGTAACGAGCATATTACTAAATGATTGGATAGGTACTTTAACGGTTACTACTGTTTATAGTCCACACAAGCACATAAATTTAAACATGAACATATAAGCATATATGGTAAGTCTACACACGAAAAATACAAAAATACAAAGAAAATATGCAAGCTTTTTTACTGTAAGTGATATCATTAGACACGCGCATATTTAATTTTAAGTCAACCGCTGTGATGTAATTAACCAATAAAGACATTAATAATATCAAAATACTTGGTAATGAAGTCAGAAAAAGTAGATAAAATTTGGCTGTACTACAACCTTCGAAAGAGCAAAAATAGTAGAGCAAAAGACAAAACTTTAACCAAAGAATCTATAGTACAAAGAAGTGCCACGCTCATACAAACGAAATACCCACTTTATTTTGCTGGTGGATTTATAATAAATCCACCCAACCTCATGCAACAATGTTCGATCGAGTCACAACTGGTATGATGTCCAGTTCAAACCTATATGTGAGTCGAGTAAGGCTGACAAAAGTCGGACTGCATACGTATTCAATCATACATGCAACCCTCTGTATTACATTATACACATGTTGTGTGTTTGTTCGCTGTAAAATGTTCAAGCGATCAAACAGCATTTCAGTGACGAAGTCAAAATTGTGTACATTTGATAAGTTTTTGAATTTAATAGCATATGAAACAAAATTACCTGTTTGATATTGTTATGAATTGTAGTGTAAAAACACATTACAAATTTATTTATGTATCAAATCTGATTTTTTCCATTCTATGAAGCTTTATTTTTAAATGTTGTCCATGCGCAATGTTTCGGAAGCAATATCGTAATCACCAATTTTAACATTTCAATCCGGTGTAAATAGCATTCATGCGTTTCTTCAAACCAGGAAGCATTATTAGTGGTTTTAGTGACTTCTATACATTTTTTCAATATAATTTTTCTTACTTTTCTAATATTTTTATTTTCTTTAAAATACTTTTAAAACACTTTTATATGAATCTTAAAAACATTTTTTAAAATAATCACAAAAAGTCACCAAAAATTCAAACTATTAAGAAGTAGTTCCTTTTGAGGTAAAATATATGCACAAATGTGCAATAAAAACAAACCTATTTATGTACTGCAGACTTAATGTCTCCAATATCACATTTGTACATACATAATAGTTTTTGTAGTGCATCATTTTTTGCAAGAAAAAAAAAATGTGTTCTATTACTCTTTACTCCTATGATATAGGCCTTTCCAGTACAAGAAAATAAAGCAACAAAGTACATGGTAAAATTCTTTCAGGGATTTCTTTACCATTCACTTCGCTACTAATCAATGTATATTAATAAAATAGACAAATAAAAACAAGAAAGGCAAAAGAAACAGGCATATAAAAACAATTGTGGGTTGTAATGAGTTTGAACTGGACATCATACCAGTTGTGACTCGATCGAGCATTGTTGCATGAGGTTGGGTGGATTTATTATAA